CCAATTTTGATGTGGGTTTCGATTTTATGTTTGTAATCCAATTTTGTTATTCGAATTACCATGCAATTCTGTTTGTAAAATAATTTTTATCCCAAACCCAAAGGACTAAATTTTTTGCGGGTTTTGATTTCAGTTGCTAGAGGTAAAACAAACTGAATTCTTCCAAGATTTTGCCAAAAAACAAGGTACAAATTTTTTTTTCTCTTGGTTTGATTTTTGTGTGGGTTTTTTTTCTCTTGGTTTGATTTTTGTGTGGGCGTTGATTTCAGGTCCTAATCCTGAAATGACCAATATGTCCCAAACCCAAACCCAAACCCAAAATGATCTTTGATTTTGGTGTTATGTTTGTAAAATAACCTTTTTTTTGTTTGTTTCTTATTATAACATTCCCTAAACGACCAATATACTCGTAGACACACCCAAAATGACCAAGTTCCTGTTTTTTTTCTTATAATAGCATTGCGGTTTTGTATTTTGGTAGTAAGTTCTTGTGAGAAATCCACGTCAACGGAATTTGATCGATAAATTTTGAATAGTTATTACAATAATATTTAACTTATTTTTTGTAAAATAACTTAAATCTGTTTTACTAAAATGCTAATTTAGATGTTGTCGGTAAAGTTATTGATAGCCGACTTTAAAGCCATGATTCTGCGTGTGATATATTTATTCAAGATAAATCGCAAGATTTTAGAATATTATTATCATTATTATTATTAAAATACTAATTATTAATTACTATTAAAATTAATATTTCAAATTTTTACAATGGCTACGTAATTCAACTCATTTTGAATGATGGTCATGAAGCTTTACATTTTAGACTCACATAATCAATGCAAGGAAAATGGATCATATATGTATCCTGTGTTAAATATCGAAGCCAAGCGGGGAGAGAGTATAAACTTTTCACTAGAGTTTGTTTAGCGAATTAATTAGTTTTACAATCCATTTAACCTATAACAACACACTTTCATATTTAACCTATAACAATACACTTTCATATTTAAACTATAATAGCAATATGTTTACATATTTAACCTATAATAGCAACATATTATTATTTGTAACCAAATTAACATAGTAATATATTTAAACTAAAAAAATACAACATTTTCGTTTTTAGGCTAAATTACAATGATTTAACAACATATCGAAAGAAAACATTAATCATTAATGAAACTAATCGTCGTCCGTTGCCATATAAAGAGTAATAGACGGAAATTACTATTTACTGTCCGTCTAGGGACAGCTGAACGCCGAAAGAAACAAATCGTCAGAATGAAACAAATCAAAATGAAACAATTTGACGATCGCCGAAATGACACTAAGTTTCGTTCGAAAACTAATAGTCGGAATGAAACAAATTGTTGTCGCCGCATTGCGCGGGTACGCTACTAGTATATATATATATATATATATATATATATATATATATATATATATATATATATATATATCATTACCGTATCAAGTATACTTAGATACCAAATTGATAATGATATATTACCAAATTATTTCCAATTTTCAATATTAATATTTAACTATCAACAACAACAACAGTATGAGACAATTTTACGGTCTAGTAAAAAATAATATAACAATTATTTTAATTTAATAAATTATTATATTAAATAACTTTGAAGTAACTTTGCATTTTTTTAATTTAATTTCGTAATAACTATCGACCACGACTAAATAGATAATATCATTCTCATAAAAATGTAAACATTAAGAACACTTGACAATTGAAGTATACGGTTTGTAACGTGTGTGTCTATATATATATATATATATATATATATATATATATATATAT